GTTATTATTGCATTGTTTTCAAGGTCCTTACAGAGTGACTGCTTTATAATCTGCTCCAGCATTTTCCCTGGGATTGATGTCAGGCCAACTAGTCTGTAGTTCCTAGGTTCCTCCTTCCCCCCCCTTTTTAAGATAGGGACAGTGTTAGCCCACCTCCAATCTGGCACTTCACACATCCTTCATGATTTCCAAAAAAATAATAAACAATGGTTCTGAGAATTCTTCTGCTGTTCTTTCAGTGGCCTTGGATGCAGTTCATCTGGTCCTGGAGATCTAAACTTGTTCAAAGTAATAAGGTATATATCAAGCTGAAATCCTCTTCCCTCCCTTTTGTACTTCACATTTGCCTGGAAGAGCATATACTGTCTTTTAGGAGAAGGCCAAGCTGAAGTAGGAATTCAACACTTCTGCCTTTCTTTGTCAACTGTTATCATTTTCCCATCCCCATTGAGTAACTGAGTCACTATTTCTTTTCTCTGTCTTTTGCTATGCACAGACCTGCAGATTTTGTTTTTACTTTTGTTGCTCTTTTTATTTTCAGGAATTCTGAATTTTTTCTGGGAAGCCATATTAATCTTTTTTTCTGTCTTCCACCTTTCTTTCTTTTTTTTGTAGAAACTCTGATCCATCTTGGATTCCTTTTTCTGTTAAGAATCTCCTTATGTGGAACCTTACTTATCATTGTTCTGAGTTCATAAAAATTGGCTTTTAAAAAATTCAGCATATATGTGGCTCTGCTCTGCTTTGATTTGCTTTGAAATCAAGAATTCTAGTAGAACGTAATCATTTTTGCCCAGGGTTCTCCCTTGTTGCCATTTTTCCGACCAAGTCATCTCTATTAGTTAGTTCCTCCTGAACTAAGATTTTCCATTGTTGTTTGTTTTCTGTGCTCCTGGTATTTGTATATACACATTGGAGATTGTGTGATTTGTGACTGCTTTCCTTTGTTCATTTTTAATGAAAATTATTACTGAGTTCCATTAGAGTTGCTCGGTCAGCTCCTCTTTTGCATTAGCCTTTAATTTATCCTTACCTGTAAGCTTGCATCTCCTTCCAATTCAGTTTTAAACCCTCCTAATGAAGTTCTTTGTGCTGTGCGAAACACTTTCTTCCCAGTCTTTGTGAGGTGCAGTCCATCAATTGCCAGCACTCTTATCTTCCAGAAGGCATAGCCCATGATCCTAAAATCCAAATTCCTCACATTGGCACTGCTTTCATCAACCAGAGTATTCCTTTCTATTCCTCTCCTGAGTATTGGTATAATGGAGGAGAAAACCAGTAGGATACCACAGTCCCAGTCTATAAAGTCTATAGGAGGGATAGAGGGGGTGTGTGGGCGGTAGTGTGGCCGTCTGTGTCAGAGGAGTAGTAGACTCCAGCAGAATGCAGATGGACGGCGGATTGGACACCATCATAGAATCACTGTGGATGAAACTGCCAGGCCCAAGGAGCAATTTGATAGTGGGGGGGCTGCTATCGTCCTCCAAATCAAAAACTCGAGGGACACCTTGAAATGAGGAGACCAGTCAGGGAGGTGTCCAAGAGGGACAGGATTGTAATCACAGGGGACTTCAGTTATCCACACATTGACAGGGTCAATGCGTGCTCGGGTCAAGAAGGAGAGACTGGGTTTCTTGACATGCTAAATGACTGTGCCTTGGAGCAACTTGTCATGGAGCCCACCAGAGGACAGGTGTCTCTGGGTGTGATATTGTTTGGTACTCAAGACCTGGTTAAGGACGTGAATGTCACTGAGCTGCTAGGGAATAGCAGCCATGCTGCAGTCTCTTTCGCCATGCATGTTGGGGGGAGAGTGTCAGGCAAATCTGACACAAAAACCCTTGATTTCCGAAGAGCAGACTTCCCTCATATGAGGAAACTACAGTGGTGCCTCGAGTAACAATGTTAATTTGTTCCGAAAAAAACATCGCTATGGGAAAACATCGCTAAGCGAAACACAATTTCCCATAGGAATGCATTGAAAACCAGTTAATCCGTTCCAATGGGAACGATTTACCGTCCTTAAGCGAAAATCGCTATAGGAAACATCGCTAAGCGAAACAATGTTTCCCCCGTTGGAATGCATTGAAGCCTATTCAATGCATTCCAATGGTTTTGCGATGTCCGTTTTCGCTATTTTTAAAGTGTCGTAAAATGTTCAAAAACTGTTTTAAATCCTTGGGATCGTTAGTGCACCTTGTAAAACCTTTGCAAACTTAATTTGGCTTTGTTCTGACTCTTTGTTAATTTTTGGTGAATTTATTTCTCCCCCATTGGAATGCATTGAACTGTAGGTTTGACAGCTGTTAGAAAGAAATTGAAAGGGAATCTCTCCAGAGTGCATGGAGCCTGTTTAAAACAACGTTAGTAGAGGCTCAGTGGAAGTATATACCGCGAAGAAAGAAGGGCTCAGCTAAGTCCAAGAAGGTGCTGGCATGGTTAACGAGTGGAGTTAGGGAGACTTTAAAGTGCGAGGAGTCCTTCCATAAATGGAAATCCTTCCCAAATGAGGAAAATTAAAAGGAACACAAACTCTGACAAAAGAAATATAGGAAGACTATATGGAAGGCAAAGAAAAACTTTGAGGAACGTATGGCCAGCAATATAAGGGGGAGTAATAAAAGCTTCTTTAAATATGGTAGAAGCAGGAAACTTGCCAGAGAAGCGGCTGGCCCTCTGGGTGGTGAGGGAGGTAAAGGGAAGGTAAAGGGGGACTTGGAGGTTGCAGAGAAATTAAATGAGTTCTTCGCATCCTTCATGACAGAAGGCCTTGGGCAGATTCTGCTGCCCAAACAGCCCCTCCTGACTAATGAATTAAATCAGATGCAGGTTAAAAGAGAGGATGTTTTAGTCCTAATCGATAAATTGAAAATCAGTAATTCACTGGCCCAGATGGCATCCACCCAAGGATTATTGAGGAACTGAGGAATGAGGTTGCTGATCTGTTAACTAAAATATAGAACTTATCCCTTAAAATGGCCACAGTACAAGAGGACTGGAAGATAGCACATGCCAATCTTTAAAAAGGGAAGGAAGGGGGACCTTGGCCTAACGTCTGTTCCAAGGAAGATGGTGGAAAGCCTCATCCAAGATAAAATCTTAAAACACATAGACCAACAAGCCTTGCCTCACAAACCTCTTAAATTTCTTTGAAAAAGTCAACAGGCATGTGGATGCAAGTGAACCAGTGAATATTGTCTATCTGGATTTTCAGAAAGCTTTTGACACTGTCCTTCACCAAAGGCTGCTGAGAAAACTCCACAGGTGGGATAAGAGGGCAGGTCCTCTTATGGGTTGAGAATTAGTTTGGAACCAGGCAACAGAGTAGGTGTCAATGGGCAGTTTTCACAATGGAGAGAGGTGAAAAGCGGTGTCCCCCAGGGATCTGTCCTGGGACCGATGTTTTTCAACCTGTTCATAAATGACAGGGCTATAAACAGTGAGGTGGTCAAGTTTGCAGATTGCATGAAGCTCTTCTGGGTTGTGAAGAGCTCCAGGAGGATCTCTCCAAACTGGGAGAATGGGTGGCAAAATGGCAAAAGTGTTTCAATATAAGAAAATGTAAAGTAATACACATTGGGGCAAAAAAAAAATCAAAACTTTATTTATCAGCTAATGGGTTCTGAGCTGTCTGTGATGGACCTGGAAAGAGATCTTGGGGTTCTGGTGGACAGCTCAATGAAAGTGTCAACCCAGACAAAAGAGAACAGACAAAAGAAAATAGTTCTTTATTCAGCATGCTGTTAGTCTGTGGAACTTCTTGCCACAGGATGTGGTGATGGCATCTGGCCTAAATGCCTTTCAAAGGGGATTGGACAGATTCCTGTAACGCTGGAAAAGACTAGTTGAGCACTTCTGGCATCTAACAGAACAAAAACCTTGTGTGCGTGGAGATTGTTTTCAGTGTAAAACATGCCACTCTGAATTGTGGGGAGATCTGCATTTTGGAGCAAATATTATACGGTGTCTTGGATGACTACATTCAGGTTGTGTGAGCCACATTTGACATACCCCTGGGTTAGATAATCCAGCAATCTGATAGCTTTTTGGTTTAGTTGCTTTCAAATAAAAATCAAGAAGAAGATTGATCTGACACTATACAAATTAAAATCTTCTGAAAGAAATTTTGATAATTGGCTACGTAACACAGTGCAGTAAATCTACTTAAGTTGAAATTTCTCAAAACAGCTTGTTGAACGTTTGTAACATTTCTTTCAGCCATAATATTTAATTAGGAGCAGCAATAGTTTTTTCAAATTCTTCTGTAATTGCGTGTTTAAAGAAGAGTTAGTTTCCCCTCCCATATCTCAGTGTGTGCATATTTTGCTATCTGTTGTCTCACATAGATGCTTTTGGCAGGTTCTAAACATGATATGCAAGATTGTTACTTAGGATACTTTTTGTTTTACCTGTACAGAGGAACCCAGGCCATTTCCCTAGTCTAGCAATAAAATAAGTAATCTTAAATGTACTAAAACATATAATGTATACAAAGGTCTGTTAGAAATGCTGAGGGCAGCAAGAAAATGTAAATAGAAGTTTTGGACAGAAATTTACATGAACACTCATGGTCACCTACAGTGTCCTTTTCTTTTCATTTTCTAGAATTCAGAGGCCAGCCTCATGGGCTACATCTATACTTCTGCTGAGAGCAGACCAATTGAATGAATGAGACTTGCTAGTTCTGACTGACAGGCCCAATTTATTGCAACAGGTCTGCTCTAGGCATGACTAATATATTTCACCCAGTGGGCAAACTGCACAGTTGCAGGGCATCCCCAGAAGAAGGGAATGGTAAAACTACTTCTGAATATTCTCTACCTGGAAAACCCTGAAAAGGGTTAGACTTGACTTAAGGCACATAATTATTATTACTTACTTTAAAGAATGCTGTAAACATCATGGCATTTTTGTAGGAAGTTGTGGGAAGCTTAAAGACTAAATCAGATGCATCACTGATCTTGCCCTTATACCTTCAAAGTTATGTTGTGTCTTTTCAGGGCTGTGGAGTCTCAGGCTGATGGGCAGTGTTCAGCCCCAGAGTCTCTTTGGAGGCGGTACAGTGAATTTGAGTTGCTGAGGAATTATTTGCTAGTTAACTATCCACATATTATTGTGCCACCTTTGCCGGAGAAAAGGGTAAGGAGTTTTTTTAAAACTTATTTGAGTTTACAGCTGTTGTTTCCACACACAACCTCCCCTTGCAATAGTATCTACACTTGTGTTCACGGCTTTGCTATTCATCACAACAATGACATATAGAAGTTTGGATTCAGATAAAAATCTTATATTTAAATTTTGTTGTGTTTTTAAAGCAATCACAGCCCATTAAAGCTGTAACTATTGTTTTTCACAATTATGGGCTTGAACTGAATTCTCAAGACTTAGAGGGATAGGAGTTAGAACTAAGCTTTGGCAGTTTTTTTCGGTGATCAGGAAACTTTGCCCGGGAAGAAATTATGTTTTAAAAGCCCTAATTGAATAATTTGAAGATATGTGATATTGCTGATGCAGTCCTTCCACAACTGCACATCACAACTGTTCCATACATTGTTTCTGCATCTGTTTTTTCACCCACCCTTTTGATGACAAGCCTCTCCCTTCTTAGTTAGGCTCTTCTTCAGGTAAAAAACAGCCTTACCAGTCTGTTAGATCCTGTCAAAGCTTCCATTGTGCTGGCATACGTCTTCAAAAGGCCAGTGTCACCTCTGCAGCACAATGAGGCTGCAGCATAAAAGGACTCTGTAGATGATAAAGCTGCTGGCATACTTAAATGCTTTATAGAGATGGAGAATTTAATTTAATTGGTGAATAATTGAATTTACATTACTTTTGAATGAAATACATACTTCTCTGCTAGTAACACCTTTTCGTTCCACAGGCAGAGTTTGTTTGGCATAAGTTGTCGGCAGATAACATGGATCCAGATTTTGTAGAAAGACGAAGAATTGGCTTAGAAAACTTTCTCTTGCGTGTGGCTTCACATCCCATTCTTTGCCAGGAGAAGATTTTTAATGCATTTTTAACCCAGGTATCATAATAACTTTTTTATATCTTAAAAATAATCTAGTTTAATCCTGTAATCTTAATTCTTAGTACAGATATCTGAATTGCTGCTGAAGCCTCCAAGGCAGGCTTCAGTAGTATGTGGACTGAGAACTTCCAGAAGTACAAGCTGGATTTCAAAGGGGCAGAGGAACTAGAGACCAAATTGCTAACATGTGCTAGATTATGGAGAAAGCCAGAGAGTTCCAGAAAAACGTCTACTTCTGCTTCTTTGACTATACAAAAGCCTTTGACTGTTTGAATCACAGCAAATTGTGGCAAGTCCTTAAAGAAATGGGAGTGCCTGACCCCCTTATCTATCTCCTGTGAAACCTATACATGGGAAAGGAAGCAGCAGTTAGAACTGGATATAGAAGAACTGATTGGTTCAAAATTGAGAAAGGAGTACGACAAGGCTGTATATTGTCTTCCTGCTTATTTAACTTATATGCAGAATACATCATGTGAAAGGCTGGACCGGATGACTCCCAAGCCGGAATTAAGATTGCTGAAAGAAATATCAGTAACCTCAGATATGCAGATGATACCACTCTGGTGGCAGAAAGTGAGGAGGAATTAAAGAACCTCATAATGAGTGTGAAAGAGGAGAGCGCAAAAAATGGTCTGAAGCTCAACATAAAAAAACTAGGATCATGGCCATGGGTCCCATCACCTCCTGGCAAATAGAAGGGGAAGGTATGGAGGCAGTGGCAGATTTTACTTTCCTCAGCTTTATGATCACTGCAGATGGTGACAGCTGCCATGAAATTAAAAGGCGCCTGCTTCTTGG